TCTCTCTCTCTCTCTCTCTCTCTCTCTCTCTCTCTCTCCTCTCTCACTCTCTCTTTAAAAAAAAAAAGATGAATGCTACTACCTCATAATAAAGTCCTGCAGCTTCAGCACTACCATTTGACATTTGTCAAACAGAGAAGAGTGGTTCCTCCACTCTCACGGAATCAGTTTGTCAACAAGCATTTATGGAGCACCTAGTGTGGTACAGGGCAGTAGGGATAAAATGATAAGCAAATCTAATCCCAGCTGCCCTTATAATGCTTATGCTCTAGTGGAGGAGAAAAAGCTGTGTGTATGTACCTTTGTGTATGGGCATGTGTGTGTATTCGTGTGTACCTGTATGTGTGCGTGCATGCACTGGTATGTGAATATAATTATGAACTGTGATAAATGCTAAAATGGAAAGATAATAGTGATACTCAGAGGAAATCTGTCACTTTGATGGGAACACAGTCACACTTCTGCAGATACTTAGGTGAGCAGGAAAAAGTGTCCATTGCTGCAAGAGTCCGTGCTGTAGTCTGGAGGTAACCTCTTTATCCTGGGATAACCTTGATCTATTCTAACAGAATTTGTAATATCCACTCAGATGTAGGGAAACCTACCGAGGAGAGTCTACTCTGCCAATGCCACTATATTAAAAAATGGCAGCAAGGGTGTAGAGGATGCCTAAGTTTTGAGGCATCTGACTAGATTTGGGCTTGACGGAATCCTAGGAAGCTGTTGATCTCCACTCTCTCTTTTGCCTCACACTTCCTGGATGGTAGTTATCCGATATCCTCACTGGGCATCTCCTTCCCAGCCCCCAAGTTTTCAAAGGCCAGGATAGTCCATACACACAAAAGCATCATTGTTCACAGCCCAGAAAGAGACCTGAGGGGCGACTTACCGAAATCAGCCAGTTTGAGCTCTCCCAGGTGACTGATGAGCAAGTTCTGAGGTTTCAGGTCCCTGTGAAGGACGTGTTGGTGGTGGATGTACGCCAGGCCCCGCAAAAGTTGAAACATGAAAAGCTGGAAGGAATGAACACCAAACCTAAGGACATTTGAACCACTATGTGTTGACTTCTCCTCTAAATCAAAAACAGGCATCTGAAAGAATATAGTGGAAGTGTCTCTTGAGAGAGAGAGAGAGAGAGAAAAAAAAAAGACTTTACATTTATTCAGAGGAAGGAAAAAAGGACAAAGAAAATCTAGTAACTAGACCACATCCTAAACAAAGGGATTCTGGCTTCTCCTGACATCTCATTTCTTTGACACTGCAGGAATTACCCTTCCTTAAAAATATAAAGCCAAACTTTGAAGTTTCCCTTGGAACACTAGTTATTGATTTAGATGTGAAAGATATAATATTCCCCCCACCAATGAATTTGGCATATAAGATCAAAGTTGACCTGGAAATGATATTCTAAAGTTTACAATTATGAAAGTTTTCCAGATTCTGATATGAAACCCTCTTTGAAACACAATGCAAGGAGACCTGGCTCGGGGATAGATCCTTCAATGGTGTTAGGAAGAAAGGAATCATTATCTTTTTAAACTTAATTTTAAAGTCTTAAATTCAAAGCTAAAAACAAGAGAAATACACAGTATAGATTAAGAAGGAAGAGAGACCAAGTGAAATGAACCCCCCCTCCAAAAAAAATCAAAAGAAAATAAGGAATCAATAGTAGGGAGAAGAAAAGAGAAAGAGTGGTGGTACTGGTGGAAAAAGCAAAACTTCATTCCAGGCCACAATTTAAAATGTTTCACATGGAAGCCAGGGGTGCAGCTCAGTGATAGAGTGCTTGCCTAGCATGGAAGAAGCCCTGGGTTTCATCTTCAGCACTGAAAAAAAAAATTTTTTTCCCTTGTGATTGTGAAGCACAGAAACCAAAGACATTACTAAATTCCCATCGAGGTAAAAGCTTACAAGGAAAAACTAATGTGTCTCTTGCTATTTTCCAGTGCCACTGGCAATGAGAATCCAAACACCAACATCAGTGTTTACAAAGATCTCTGCCAAGTGGGAACATGTTCTGACAGTTTAGAAAAGAAAAGGCCAGGCCCAGCATTCCTGGGAACAGAGGCAAAATGGCATCTGCAGAGGTGTGTGGATAAATCCACTTTTCTCATGGCAATTTGAAAACTAGGAACTTCAGAGCTACTAGGAGCAGGGCTAACCTAACAATGACATGGAGACATTGGAGCCAAGTTAATGAGCAGCATGGTCCCACCAAAGCAGGAGACAGGCAAACTTATATGCCAGTGTATCTGAATCTCTCTATATATAGATATCTGGGGATATGGGTCTGTGGTAGAGCATTTGCCTTGCATGTTTAAGGCCCTGGGTTCATATCTAATACTGAAAAAAAAAAAGTTAGAAATTTCTTGGGCTGAGAATGTAGCTTAGTTCTGAAGCACTCATCTAGCATGTATGAGGCCCCCAGTACTACCACCCTCCATTTTTTTTTTTTCATATGACTCTTTCTTCAAATGTTCACTGTTCCTATGAGTCTTTCCAACACTTTATGTTTCTGGTACCTCAGACACATACACTATTCAATTTACCACTCACCAATAAGCTACCAAAGCATAAAATTCCTATGCTAACATTCAAAACTTCCAATTGGTATAAATAGAAATTTTCATAGCCAAGACAATAAAAAGAAGCAATTTGAAATTTTAGGCAAAAGATAAGGTATCATAGTATGCTCTTTCAATGAGAAGGGATGAAGGAAAGAGGGAGATGAAGACAAGTGAGAGACAGTAGATAGGAATATGGTGGCCAGAGAGCGTTCCAGCCTTTGGAAGACAACTTGTCCTCAGTTTTCAGATAAGAAAACCAGGACTCAGGAAACTTTAAAAATATGTCTAGAGCAGGGCACAGTGGGTGTATGCCTGTTATCCCAGCCATTGGGGAGGCTGAGGCAGGAGGATTGAAAGTTTGAGGCCATCCTAGCAAGACTCTGTCTCAAAATTTAAAAATAGCAAGGACTGGAGATGTAGCTCAGTGGAAGAGTATGCTGAATTCCTCCAGTGCCAGGAAGAAAAAAAAATGTCTAGGAAGAGTCTAGAAAGACACAAGGCAAGGCACAGACTCAAATTCAGGACTGCCTGACTCCACTATACCATCCTGAGAAAAGACAGGAAATTAAAACATGGCAAGAAGGAAAGAGTCAGCTGGCTGAGTCAGAGACACAGCTTCTTGGTGGGTCAGCTTGAAATGCCTTTCATGTCCCAAGTGTAGACAGGTCTCACTAATTAGTCACACCCACCTCCTACCTTCTTGCTGCTCAGTGCCTTGCTTCTCTGCCTCTTCAGGTACCTCTAAATATTGTAAATGGCAAAGCCCTGCGGCATCAAGGTATAGTATTTTGTAGCCACAATTCTTAAAACTGCAGTGTGTGCTGACTAAGCTCACCGCCCACTCACTCTTTCATCCCTCACAACCTGGATTCTTCCTTCAACAATTACTCCATCATTGCTATCACCAAATCCTATGGGTTTTTCTCAAAGTCAAGCCAGACCATGGGCGACTCTTTCCAAAGAGACTTCCCATACCCCACGGGTTAGACCTGTTTCCAACACAATAAGGTTTGAGGGGAACAAAATAATTCCACTGGGCTAGTGCCATCTGGGCTAGAGTCCCTCAAAAACAGAATCGAGTCATTTAGCCTGCTATGTGCAGGGAAGCCTGCCTCCTGCCACTTACCAGGGATCCCTAGGACTCATATTAGAAATCTAAAAAACAATGTCATTTTTTGTGGGGTGGGAAGTACCAGGGATTGAACTCAGGGGCATTCGGCCACTGAGCCACATCCCCAGCTCTATTTTTTATTTTATGTAGAGACAGGGTCTCACTGAGTTGCTTAGCACCTTGCTGTTGCTGAGGCTGGCTTTGAACCCACAATCCTCCTGCCTCAGCCTCTCGAGCCTCTGGGATTACAAGAATGCACCACGGTGCCCAGCAGATATCAGGCTTTGACATGGAGAGTGGCCCAAAGCTTCATGTATTGAAGGCTAGTCCCTAATGCAGTGTGTTCAGAGGTGGGGCTTTGGGGAAGTGATTGGATTACAACGGCTCTGATCTCATCCATGGATTAATGGATTAATTGGATGGGCTTGTAATTGAATGGACTACTGGAAGGTAGTGGAAACTGTAGGAGGTGGGGCCTAGTTGGAGGAAGTGTGTCACTGGGGGCATGACCTGGAAGGGTATATTTTGTTCTAGATCTCTCTTTCTCTCTCTTTTCCCTGTCTCAATGAGGTGAGCAGCCTCTTCCACCACATTCTCCCACCATGATGTTCTGCATTACCACAGGCTCCCTGACCAAAACAACAACAACCAAAAAAAAAAAAAACCCAGAGGCAAGTGACCATGGACTAAAACCCTGAGCCAAACATCTTTCCTCCTCCGAATTGATTGTCCCAGGTGCTTTGTTACAGTGATACAAAGCTGACTAACACAAAGTTAAACCTCACTAGGATTCCACCCTGTTTTTTTCTTGGTCACTTTTCAATATGCCTTCTCTCCCATAACCTCATGTCCATATGGCTCTGCTTTTCCTATCACTGAACCCAGTGTCTGTTGCTCTTTCCCCCCCCCCCAACCATTTCATTCTTTACTCTTTACTCCTCAATCCTGGTTTCAAACACTCCAAAGATTAAGCTCTAATGAATTTTTTTTTCTGCCTCCTTTCCTTCAATGAGAAGTGAGTTCATTGCTTCCTTACACTATTCTCTAGTAGATGCTAGTTTTTCTTTACTTTTCATTTTTTTTAGATTTATTATTGAATTTTTCTTCTCTTTTTTATATGCTAGTTTTTCTACAACTTCCTCATAATTTTGATCACGAAAGGTAGGATATGCTACCTCTCCCTTCCCAATATCACTTCAAAACCATTACTTTTTCTAGGTATGATGGCATTCACCTGTAATTCCAGCTACTTGGGAGGCTGAGGCAGGAAGATTGCTATATTCCAGGTCGGCCTGGTCAACTTAGCAAGACCCATTCTCAAAATAATATTTTAAAAAGAACTTCAAATATAACTCAGTGGTAGAGGGACCCTGAGTTCCAGCCCCAGTACCTCAATAACAAACAAAAAAACAACAGAAGCATTACTTCCCTACCCTTAATTTTAAGTATCTCTTAGATTTTCATGCATTCAGCTAGTCTTCCTCTACTCTGTCTTCACTGTCATCTCGTCAACTCCTGTTCCCTGTCTATCACCCTGAAGACATGGCATCTGGATCACAGCTGTTGCCTCAGGACATCAGTGCCCAGGAGAGTGAGTCTAGTCAATCTCCCCAGCACCCCGGATCTGCTTCTCGGGTCTACTGTGGCCACGGACTCCATGGTCACATGCTGGATCTCACCATCACATGAAACTGTCTTTTGAAATGTGAAATTCACAAAAGGCTATGATGGTGAGGCCTAGAAAGAGGTTTTCTGCAAAAGGCCATGATCACCAATGCCTTTTGCCATGAAATCCAATAGATTCCTCTCATTTCTTATCTCTGCAGCGTTTGGCATGGTTGACCATGTTTTCGTTTATAATAACTCTCTCTCTTCCTGGTTCCCCAATCTCCTCATTTTCCTCCTGCCTTTCTGGCTGTTCTTTTAATAAGTTCCACTTCTACTAATCTCTAATATACTGATGTACCTTAGGGCTCTGTCCTTGACCTTCCTCTCTTATGGGTCTATATACTCTCCCTTCACCACCTTACCCATTGACAGGACTTCAGGGACACCCATATTCTGATCATTTGAAACCTTTATCTCCAACTCTGATCTCTTTCCTGGCCTTTAGACTCACATGGCCTGATGTTCACCTGGACATCCCATCATCTTCTCACTCAGCAGGTCCGAACATCATTCACTGTACCTTCAATATCCATTGTCTTCCTATTCCTTTGTCTCAGCAAATGGCACCACTATCCCCCTTAATACTCAAAGCCAGAACAGTTCTTGCCAACGCTTCCTCTTCCTGTCAATGCTGGCTAGGTAGCTGATGGCATATGGAGCCACTTCCCTCCACCATCACCTCACATGGCACCACCGTTGTGCTGATCACCCTCACGGTCAAGGTAGACACCAGCACTTAGGGAATGAGCAGAGGAAGAGAAGCCTACATACTGTGTGAGTGGGAGTTGGGGGCCGGGCAGGTAGGATAAATCAAGGAGGATGTTGGGTCTGGGTAATACAATATTTTTTAAGAGTATTTCCCTCCTTTCAATCACCACACCTGTTATCATCATGAGCTTTACAAAAAGAATATCTGAGTTTACTCCTTTCTTGTTTAAAACCATATGGCACACAATGATACAGACCAAGCCTTTATGCTCTGGCTCCTACTCATTATCTCCCGAGTCTCATCTTTACCCATCCCAAAGTCTGCTTACTTTAAACTCCAGCCTTACTGAATTAGCTTGGTCTCAGGGCTGTTCCATGCCTTCTCTGGCATTCTGACATTTTTACTGCCGCCTCCATTCTGGGGAAATCATCCCCACATCCACCCGCTTTGATTGATTACTTTTTCCTTTTTGCCTCCATATAACCCCAATAAGTTCCTCTGCTTATTAGTGTATCCCTCACAGATCTACAAAGCCCTTGAAGCCAAGAGGATGATTTTTTTATTATGATTTATTTTATTTTACCATCTAGGAAGTTCCAGCCATCAGCAGTTCCAGTGCAATTTCAGGTGCAATTGGGAATTCAGGAATCTCAGTGGAGCTGTGTACACCTTTGATAGTACATGTGAAGGATAGCTCTTAAACTGACCTCAATGGTTTCATTTCTGGCAGACTGACTTGGGCTATTTTAGTGTACGTTCTCTTTCTACAACATATTCATGACCATCAGAAGATTTCAATGTGACATAGATGGCATCAGGGTCTTCACCGCCACTATAGGTTTTCTCCTCTCTATCCATTACGTTTTTATAAAATTCAAATGCAGTTCCACAGGAACATTAGTAGTTTCTCTCAGTCCCCTGACCACTGATGTCACATCCCCTCAAACAACTGCAGCCCCAACTCCCAAGAGGATGCTTTTTTAACTGAATTTCTTGTGTTGGTGATACTCTCCACTATGCCCCTCTTGAAATAAGCTCTTCCTTTGACTTCCATGACAAAGTATTTCTCAGGGTGCTGTACATTCCTGAAAGCTTCTCCCTTTTGTCACTTGCTATCCTGTTCCTCTTCTCATCCTTAAACTGAAAGTTCCATCCTCAATCCTCTTCTCTTGGTGCACTTTTGGTTATCTACTTTCCTATTTTTTTTTTTGTACTGGAGATTGAACTCAGGGGCACTTGACCACTAAGCCACATCCCCAGCCCTATTTGATTTTATTTAGAGATAGGGTCTCACTGAATTGCTTAGTGCCTCACTGTTGCTGAGGCTGGCTTTGAACCCGAGATCCTCCTGTCTCAGCCTCCTGACCCGCTGGGATTACAGGCATGCGCCACCATGTCTGGCCTACTCTCCTGTCTTTTACTCCAAAATTCACGAGTTAACTACCATCAGATCTACATCTCCAGCTCACAGCTCCCTTCTGAGTACCAAGATCCTCCTCAATTGCCTGCTGCTCATTCCCTTTGGGTATCCCATCTCAACTGGACACGTCTCCACAGGACTCTTCTCCCTCCCCAAACCAACTTCTCCTATTTCTATTAATAAAGCTATAATTCTCCTTGTCAATCAAGTTCAAAATGATTTTGAACAGCCCCATCCTTTTCTTCCTTGTGCCCAGTTAGCCCTCAAGTCCAAAGTAAACTCTTCTTTATTATTGTTTTTCACATTTCTTTCCATCACTACCATAATTTAGGCCTTTATAACTTTGTACCTATATCCATGCCACCCAATGTTTGGTCCTTCACCAGCAGCATCTGTATCACTTTGGATTATGACAGAAATGCAGAAACTCAGGCTTAACTTTAGACATACTGAATCAGATCCCCTGGTAACTTGTCTGCCAATAGAGTTTGAGAAGTGCTAGACTAGACCACATCCTAGATCACTCCTAACTGGAATCTCTGACTCTAGCCTCTGTTTCCCTTTTATCCATCCCACAAATCACAGTCCTAAACATTTCCTTCTGATTGTGTCATTCTCTCTGAACTCAAACTCCTGAATTGACTATACTAAGGAATAAAGTCCATTCCTCTCAGAAAATAAGGCTCTCAGCCACCTAATCTATTTCCCTAGACTGTGTACCCTGTTTCACTAATATTCTCTGTATTTCAGGCCAACAAAACCAAAAATGCAGTATGGCACTTGTAGAAAAGAATCTTAACCAGGTGTCACTTTTAGTAACAGTAAGTCTGGTTCCATGAACTCAGGCAATATAGTGGTCCTCTCAAATTCTGGATACCTTGTACTCAAAATAAGGAAGTCAGACCAGCCCTGTGCCTTGAAGCTTTGTTGACTGCAATCCACAGTAAAAAATACATACACATCCAGCATTTATCTCCATACATAAATATAAGTATGGTTACAACCAGAACAAAAGTTGCACAAAATAATTCTTGCTCTAAGTGAAATGCATTCTAATGTTTTCTATTCTCTTCTCATTCATTATATTTTGTTTTAAAAATGCTGGTTGCTAATCACCAAATTGATTTTATGACCCACTCATTGGTAAGAACCTGTAGACTGAAAAACATTGTAGTGCTTTTAGCCCTAACAGGGCAGAACTCAGGGTCCCTATTCCTTAAGCACATCCTTGACTTCCCACTCTGTGCCTTTTCTGAGAGCATTCCCTCCCCCAGGACCATCTTGTGCTATTCCAGCCTCTTCAAATGCAGTGCATTTTTTAAAGCCTGAAACTTTTCCGGAAGTCTTCTTTGCAAGTCTACAGTACCAGGTCTCATTTCTTAGTTGGCATAATTCACAAATGTCCCACAGTAACACCAGTGTATATATCTTATCTGCTGTTTTTAGGTGCAAGGTCCTGAAGGTCAGGAATCATGCCCTCTGTATCTTTTTTTCATTGTCGTCATTTTGGACAGTGTCTGGTTATGTAAGTCACTCAGACCTGAAAATCTGTCTTCTCCGTTATCTTTCTTCTGCCTGGTCTTCTGTTTAATCAGTTCCTTGGCCCTTCCATCCTCTACTGAGCAACTGCTTAGCTTCACTTCCTATCTTCATGTTAGACACTGTCTAGAAGCTGCTGACCATCACTTTAGCAATCTCCTTATCTCCTCTTGCTTACCTGGCTTTTCTTTTCATGGGTCTGGCAAAACTAACTCTGGATCAGTCCAAATGTTTACTTTCTCCAATTGTCCTCCATTCAAATTGCTAAACACTGATATAAAAAAATAAATCCCATCGTCATACAGATGAGTTAATGGACTTCATCCGTAGCAGAGTCCTCAACAGACTAGACATTCCTTCTTGGTTTCCCTGGTTAGTTCTTTATCTCATCATCCATAGTTATGTTAATATTTCCCCCACTCTACAGGTCTTGTCCTCAATCTTCCCTACCAGACCCAAGACTGGGTTAGGTCCACTCGCCATGTATTCCCATAATATTCTTGGTTAACGTGTACATAGTTCTTAGTACTGCACTTCAAACTGCCTAGTTGAGTCCATGTATCTTATTTCACTTTAGGCTCATTGAAAATAAGAAATACAACTTGTTACTGAAACTATAGAACTTAATATAACACTGAGTACTCAGTATTTCTTGAGTGAATGAATAAATTAATACATAAATATTAGTTCAATGAATAAATATATCCTATACAAATCTCATATGGTTATTCTAAGAGTTGATCAATTAATTAATGCCAATAAACCCTTCGGGAGTAGAAAGTATGAAATATAAATGACTTCTAAAATTTATAATGTAGAATTACTGCTAGTTAAGCATTTACTATTATTTCTATTCTAATGACTGAGAAAATGGAATTTAGTCCCATATGTATAATAGGATCCACTAGAACAAGCAATGCAAATTTTATCATGGGCCACAGTAGTCTCCCATGAAAAAGGCATTTATTTTATGAAGACCTACCTTCATTTCTTTTCTTTTAATATAATCCTTTTAAATTAGTTTATATTTCTGAGGACACCTTGGCATGATGTTGATGACTGACAGGGTTACGTTACCCAGAAAATAGCTAGATATTGCTCCAGTTCTCAAGGGACAACTATTTATTTATTTATTTATTTATTTGATGTTTCTCTAAAATATCAGTGAGGACCATCTCTTATTTGGTGTCATGGTACTTGGCTATGTGATGTAAATCTGTTTCAAAATTCTTCTGTTGTAGCTGGACTATGGTGGTGCATGCCTGTAATCCAGCGGCTTGGGAAGCTGAGACAGGAGGATTGCGAGTTCAAAGCCAGCCTCAGCAAAGGTGAGGCGCTAAGCAACTCAGTGAGACCCTGGCTCTAAATAAAATACAAAATAGGGCTGGGGATGTAGCTCAGTGGTGAGTGCCCCTGAGTTTAATCCCCAGGACCAAAAAAAAAAAAAAATCTGCTGTGGACAGGAAAGCCTGACCTTTGCAGTACTCACCCTGACGTTGTGAGGATGAAGCCCTCCTGGATGCTGAGACATATACTGGGCCAGGTCTGTGTGCTGAATGGAGCAGCAGAGGAAGAGAAGACAAGAGTGAAGTCAGGGGTGCTGGGATGTTGTCCTAAAGCAGACCACAGACCTGACCATGAAGGACGAATGACGAAGTTAAGGATTTTGAGACCATGATGTTAAAGGACTATAACCAGGTTTTCTGAGACTACACTGTTAAGGTCAAACACAATGTGTCTTTCTAATAGGCAGCTTGTAGAAGGAAGCCTGTTTCTTGGCACAAATGGAGATGCTCATTATGAATGACTGGCACTGAACACAACACAGGAATTTTTCACCCTCCAAGGATCCTTGGAGGCAAGTCAAATACATGCGCCTTGTGATTTCTTTCTGCTCATTTGAATCTTTTTTTTGTACTTTTAAAAAAGTACGAAATTAGTTGTTCTTTAATAAGCTTACATATAATTTTAAAATATTTGTGACATATCTTGGTTATCAATGAAATAAATGTTGGGTTCTGCTCAACTAGTGATTAAAACTAGGTTGTTTTTATAGGGCAAAATTTTATGTAGAAGGCAAATTCAAAATCCTAGTTTATTGTTGGAGGAGACAGGAAAAGAGACAGCAAAAATAGTGGACAAGGAAGCCAAGTGTGGTGGCACATCCCTGAAATCACAGCAACTTGGGAGGCTAAGGCAAGAGGATTGCAAGTTTGAGGCCAGATTTAGAAATTTAGAGAGACTCTGTCTCAAAATTAAAAATAAAAAGGGCTAGGGTGTGGCTCAGTGGTATAGCAACCCTGGGCTCAATCCCTAGTATCAAAAAAATAAAAATAAAAAGAGTGGACAAAGAAGCTGGACTAAAGATGGATACAGGAACATTAAGGCTTCACAAATCACAATATAATGGAAATTTCCATGCTCCCTTCCACATTGTAATGAAAGTTTTACCATGCCATAAAATATTAACAGATTCATTATACAAGCACCAGGCCTCTCCTTCATGTGTTGTAAAATGTTGGAGAACTCACCATGTATTCAAAAACGAATGTCAGAGTCTCTTTGGTGTGAATTATGTCATGCAGAAGCACAATATTGGCATGTTTCAAGCCCTTCAGGAGAGAAGCTAGAAAGATTAAACAAAATATTAAATCAATCACTGATAACAAAAGTGCTGTTTTAAAAGCTATCAAGCCGTATTTATTTTTTTAAACATTTGAAATTAAGCATTCTGTTTTCTTACAGCAAGAAATAAATCTCTCTGGAAAGAATACTTAAAATGACAAAGTCCATTATTTTTTAAATGGTAAAATCACTGCATATATACAACTTATCATTCTTACAGGCTAGAATGGTTGCAAAATCTGTTTCTGTTTACCTCATCAATTTCATCAAAGCACTCAGAGCACTTTGTGAATGCTCTCCTCTGGGAATCTCATCATCCCCGCTCCACAGCAATAGGAGTAGGGGCCTGGAGAGATAAAGGCCACTAGGAGAGCAGGAAATAGATTGTCTGCCTTCTAGAGCAGGACTTTGCAACGTAGGACCGTTTCCAAAATGCAAAGTCCTGCTAGTGGTCAACAGGGTCAGTGGAGGTGATTATAACTGGGAAGCAGAGGGCGAAGATTTGTTGAGGCATATTAGAGAGTGGAAAGGCTTTCTTAGGGAATGTTGCATACCACTGTGGAAAGACAAAAAATGCAAACTTGAAAAGAGAGCCAACTTGGGAAGTCAGGGGAAGAGAGGGGAAGGGCTGATGACTGTTTCTTGCCTCTTCAATCACAGGTTGCTCTTAGATGGCTAAAGGCAGCCCTTTAAAAGGGAGAAGTAATCACAAAGGCCAGGAGTGGCTGGGAACAGAGTTGAAAGGCTATCATTGAGGGCTCTAGAGATAGGAAGACCCTGTCTTCAGGAGAGCAAAAACCAGAAAAGCCACCATAAAGAGATGATAAGTCTCAGCTCAGGGCATTCCTGAATGAAGAAATAGTGTCTTTAAGATTTAAAAGAGGGCTAGGATTGTGGCACATCGTTAAAACACTCGCCTAGCACGGGCGGGACCCAGGTTCGACTATCAGCACCACATAAAAATAAAGGCATTGTGTTGTGTCCATCTACACCTAAAAAATAAATAAATATTTTTTTTAAAAAAGACTTAAAAGAGGGTTGGGATGCAGCTCAGTGGTAGAGGACTTGCCTAGCATGTGTGAGACCCTGGGTTCAACCCCCATCATTGAGGAGAGAGAGAAGGAGGAAAGAAAAGAAATGTTAAGTATAAAAGTTCTGTAGGGTACACCTGCATCTCACAAATCTCTTGCACCAACTCCCTCCTAGTATAGAATTCCCTAAGATTAAAAACAAGCAAACAAACTTAAGTACTCAAATTGGGGAACAAAGTTATTTCCTGCATGAATCTTATCCAGTTATAATGAATCCTTATTACAGCCCTTCTGACAGCCATTCTCCCTTCTAATGGGGACACCTCTGTTTTTCTGTTTCAACCCTCTTCTGACTTAGTCAATGCCCTTCTGTTGTGGCTGACTTCACTTCCATTCAATGTGGGCATACGACCCAACCAGAGATCAGCCCCAGTGATGGATGATTGGTTCAGACACTGGCACAAAACCCAGGCCTGGGAGAGCCCTACTTTGGTGGTACCATCAGGAAAGAGGTGCTTTCTTTTCTACCATGAGAAATGAATTGTGGGATTTATCCAGGAGTTGCTGGTACCAAATTACCAACACCTGGTGACAGCAGGCCTAGGAATAAAACTAAGGCAGAGAAAACCAATGTTGAGTGATGGAGATTCGTGGCTTCCCACCATCACTGTTTGTACCCTGCAAACCTTTAATTATCAGATCTGTGGGCTAGTGCATTTCCTTCTTTATTAAGTTGGTTGGAACTGGGACCCTCTTACCACCAAAGGAGTTCAAAATCCTATTTTGCTCTAATTTATACTTTTTGCTCCCAAAGTCCTTTTGGACTAAATTCAGTATTTTGCTTTTACAGATGCACTGTTTTATAAATGTAATCAGCAAGTTCCACAGGCATCTGTTTCATTTCTCAAGTTCCAGACCAAAGACTACATGGGAATAGAGAGATGACTTTCTCTGTCTTTTGGATGCCCCGCCACACCACCTATTACAACACTCAGCCAAGAGTAAGCACTTAATTTATCAAGCATATTTATTGAGTGTCTTAAGGGAGAACTGTCTGTGGAGCCAGAAGCCCTACATGAATCCTGGCCCTGTCACTTTCTATCTGAGTATCTCTGGAGAGTATCTCAACCCAAGTCTCCATGCAGCCACTCCTAGTGAAAAGTCCTATCAGCTTTCCTGACTTTACTCCACAGGATTGATTCGAGGATGGACTCCGCTCCCTTTTGCAGAACGCTTGGAAAGCATCACTCAAAGGCAAATTCAAATTAATGTCCTCAAATCTGCTTCTCTATGCCCCTTTCACACTGAACCTATTAAACCCCCACACCCAGTCTTAAAGTCTTGCTTTTGGTATGTTTCTGCAAGAGTTTTCAACACTTTCTGTATTTATAACCTTGACTTCTGACCATTTACTGAGAATGCTTATATTTTATGTATATTTTTACTTATAAATTGTTTCATAATTTTCCCTTCTTATAAATATACACTCTCTCTCGCGCGCGCGCACACACACACACACACACACACACACTACAAAGTATGTATCAAAATTAGTATTAGGAAAGGCAGCAGAATACAACAGACACTAGAATGGCAATATGTAAATCAATGGAAGTGTAACTGATGTGATTCTGCAAGCTGTATACGGGGTAAAATGGGAGTTCATAACCCACTTGAATCAAAATGTGAAATATGATATATCAAGAATTATGTAATGTTTTGAACAACCAACAACAAAAAAAAAAATTAGTATTAGGGGCTAGAAGTGTGGCTCAGTGCTCCAGTGCTCTTGCCTAGCATGCACAAAACCAAGGACTTGATCCCTAGCGCCCAGTGTTCTTGCCTAGCATGTACTAAGCCCTGGACCTGATCCCTAAAAAAAAAAAAAAATTTAAAAGGACATGGTAAAGCTGACATTGCTAAAAATATTAAGATTTTTAATACAATTTTAGTCTTAATTATATTACTAAAAACCCTTATGCTTATTTTAAAAATCATGATCGTATGTTTTATTAATCATGATGATTTCAAACTATCATTTGCTAAAAAGCTCAAGGAATGATATCTATTTGGATGAGACTACTAACAACAGTGAATATAAATCTTTATTTCATGTAATTTTCTTGATTATTTTGCTTATTAGGAATTTTGCCATTTCTCTGTTTTGATCTATATTTTCTGATTAGTTTTATCTACAGGTAACAGTTTCTTATTTTATTTTATTTTTTAGTTGTAGTTGGACACAATACCTTTATTTTACTTATTTATATTTATGTGGTGCTGAGGATCGAACCCAGGGCCTCGCATGTGCTAGGCGAGCGCCCTACCACTGAGCCACATCCCCAGCCCTTACAGGTCACAGCTTTTTTTTGCAGAAATATTTTTAAGCCATTCATTCATTTTATGGAGGTTCGCTGCTCTGGCAAATGGCTACTTCTCACTACTCTTTTTTCCCCACACCCTCACCCAATCCATCAGCAAATCTGTTGGCAAGACCTTCAAGACATTCCAGAAGCCCTCACAGGCCAGGTCCTCTGCACTCTTCCTGAGCCAAGTCACCATCCTACCCTGGCAGAACTGCTGTAAATGCCTCCTAACTGGTCCCCCTGCTCCTACCATCTCTTCCACAGCTAACCATTGGGATCCTTCACTGGAGAAGGATCCACACCCTGCAGTGACCTTTCATCTCACTCAATAAAATCCGAAGTTCCTGCTCTGGCCAGCCCACCTCTGCTCATCCAACCATGCCCATCACTCCTGGGCATCTCCTCATACTGCCACCCTGGCTTGCTGGGCTTTAGCCACATTGGCCCCCTACCTGTTCCTGGGGAACTTGCAAACACAATCCTTCTCTGAAATCTCAGGTTTGCAATCCTTTTACTTGCCACTCTCTTTCCTCAGCTCTCTGCACACTTCCTTCAGGATTTTGCCGGATGATACACATTAGGTCTGGGCTTCTTTGGCCACTGTAGATGAAAAAGCAGCTCTCTATCCCATCCCACCCCAGTAGGCCTCCATCCCTGGACCCTGCTTCATTCTTTTCCATAGCACTTACCAGCACCAGAGACAAAATACATACATGCACACGTGTATATACATGCACACATACGTTTACTGTCTGCCTTGATCCTTGTGAATATAATATTCATCAACAATAGGGACTTTTATCTTTTTTGCTTATTGCTGTGTCTATGGTACACAGAACAACATCTGGTATATTCATGTTATCAATAAATTCCACCCATTGTTGGCTGGTAGAGAGTGTTTCTGATTGAGATGCTTTTATTCCTTGTTTCTTTAGTCTTCTCCCTCCCAAATGTTCTGCTTTATGGCCATGTCTATTACGGATATTTTTTAATATATTTATTTTTCAGTTGTAGGTAGACACAATATCTTTATTTTATTTATTTATTTTTATGTGGTGCCGAGGATCAAACCCAGGGCCTCACACTTGCTAGGCTAGCTCTCTACCTCTGAGCCACAACCCAGCCCCTACTAGTGCTTTTTTAATGCCTGAGACTACTGAAATAGCTATGTGGAAACTGAATTTTACTGAGTAATTTATAGGGAGTTTGCATGAAAGAGCACATGATGTTTAAAGCTTTTATCTTGTGGTGGCATTGGTATGTGGTTGAGTGTATGCACTGCAGGACCAAAAATGTCTTTAGTTTCAAATATGAGAGTCTCAAACCCAGGGAAGAACAGTCTTTCTTCAAATTTCAAGGACATCTTATAATCTTTGCAGTAGGATGTAATGCCTGTTCTGCAGACTAAACATATTCAGGATGCAAAAGTTAACTGAGAAAAAGGGAGACAGATCCTAAAATCAGCATTCTGATTCTGGTAAAATTGCTGTTTTCATAATCATATTTCAAGTATTATCTATCTATCTATCTATTTATCTATTTATCTATCTATCTATCTATCTATCTATCTATCTATCATCTATCTATCTATGTAACTGGGGATT